ACAAATAAGAGTCAATAGGCCAAACTGTGACACTGGCAAGCCCAGCAGGAGGATGCAGGCCAGGAGCCCAGCACAGCAGCAGGACAGCATCAAGCATGTCTTCAGTAGGAGAAATACATGAATGTCTCTCCAGCCACCACAGACGGGTTAGGTGTTAAGCGGCAAGACCACACAAGGTCCCAGGACCACGGTGCTTCAGATTTGAACCACACCATGAACACAGTTCTCAGGAGTCCCACAGGAAGGGACACACGTAGGAATAAGGAGCATACACTACACAGTAAAGCCCAAAGCTATGGCTTCCAGAAGGGATTTATGGTCCATCCACACTCCTCTCAGTTCCAAGGCAGGTACCTAACTGGGGTGGTTTTTACTTTACCAGGGTTCCAGTGAAGCGGTGCTAAAAAGGGCAACCCCACGTAATCCATCCATAAAGAACGTTTGTTAACACTTTATGCGGAAGAAGAATTAACTCCTTAAATTTTAACAAATTTTTTCAAGTGGCTAAAATTACTTCTAAGGCATAAATAAGATATTGTATAGATGGGGACAGCGGGTGGCATGGTGGTTAAAGACACTGGACTCCCACATGACTGATCACAGGTTCAAGTCGCTGGCAGCTTGCTTTCTCACTTTCTCTCTGTCTCTTTGTTTCCTCTGGTCAAATTAAAAATAATAAAATTAAATAAAGTAATTTTTTTTAAAAAAAGAAACTATATAAAATAGTTAATGATGTATACTGCTAAAAAAATACTGGGACAGGTTCTCTTTCCCACTATACACGATGGCAGGCGATAAAACTGCAAAGCAGGATACTAAGAAGAAACCTGAAGCCAAGAAGGCGGATGCCAGTGGCAAGGTTAAAAAGGGTGACCCCAAGGCTAAAAAGCCCAAGAAGGGGAAGCCCTATTGCAGTCGAAACCCTGTCCTAGTCCGGGGCATCGGCAGGTACTCCCAGTCTGCCATGTATTCCAGGAAGGCCATGTACAAGAGGAAATACTCGGCCACTAAATCCAGGATCGAAAAGAAAAAGAAGGAGAAGGTTCTTGCAACTGTCACAAAACCGGTTGGTGGAGACAAGAATGGTGGTATCCGGGTGGTTAAACTGCGCAAAATGCCTAGGTATTATCCTACTGAAGATGTGCCTCAAAAGCTGTTGAGCCACGGCAAAAAACCCTTCAGTCAGCCTGTGAGAAAGCTGTGAGCTAGCATCACTCCTGGGACCATTCTGATCGTCCTCACTGGACGCCACAGAGGCAAGAGAGTGGTTTTCCTCAAGCAGCTGAGCAGTGGCTTGCTACTTGTAACTGGACCGCTGGTTCTCAATCGAGTTCCATTGCGTAGAACACACCAGAAATTTGTCATTGCCACCTCCACAAAAATTGATATTAGCAAAGTAAAAATCCCAAAGCACCTTACCGATGCTTACTTCAAGAAAAAGAAACTGCAGAAGCCCAGACACCAGGAAGGTGAGATCTTCGACACAGAGAAGGAGAAACACGAGATTTCAGAGCAGCGCAAGATTGATCAGAAAGCTGTGGATTCTCAAATTTTACCAAAAATCAAAGCTGTTCCTCAGCTCCAGGGCTACCTGTGATCCGTGTTTGCCCTTACAAATGGAGTCTATCCTCACAAATGGGTGTTCTAGATTTTTTTTTTGCCAAGAACCTAATTAAATAACTGATCATATATTAAAAAAAAATACTGGGACATTAGTTTGCATATTAGCAGCAATCTCCAGACACTAGTAGACAATGAGGAATAAGTAATGTAGAACATAGTGACATCTGCCAGTCTTTTTCTTGAGGGAAATAAAGGGACTCTTCATTTTCCAGAGGGCATGTACACTCAACAGAGAGAGAAAGAGGGAAAAGAAGAAAGCACGCCTAAATGAGGTGTGGTCAAACCACAATCCTGTCTCCATTTCGCCTTCCTGTCGGGATTTGGGGTTATATACGCACACCTGGTATGTTCAAGCTGCTAAGGCCAGGATTCAAACTACCTGGTTGGCCTTGGATTCAACTCCCCCACTAGGCCATGGGGCTGCCCCTTATTCCAAATGTTTATAAGAAAAAAAAAAATAGCTGGCTTTCAAATAGATGGATGTGCAGTTGTAATATTCCAAGTAATGGAGTCTGATAGACCACCATATATTCATGTAAATATTCAAAAATCAATTTCACGGGGTAGCACTGAAAATAAACTTTTACACATTTATATCTACACAGATACAATATATATATATGAAGTCATATTACATGAATATGAGGGTCTTTTAAAAGTTCATGGAAAATATGTATTATGAAAAAATGTATGGATTTCAAAAAGTTTTAATACCATACTAAACTAATATTTTAATTCCTTTTTTTTTATACAAACTTTTTGAAGTTCCCTTTCACATGATTTTTAATTAATGAGTATACCAGATTCAACTTATTTCTATAAACTCCTATCTAGGAAACCAGGCTTGGGAAAATGCACATTAAAAGAACCTTGAACCTTTTCCAAGATTTTTGGTTCCAAGATAAGGCAAACAATGGCACAAGTAATAAACAAAACAAGGAAAAGAGAAAAACAGTTAATAAGTAAAACAAGGAAAAGAGCTGGAATAATAACAAAAATGGACCAAGCCAGACCTAGAAGTAATGTGTCTCAACTTTATCTAAAGTGAGGATATGATATTGTTGATAGATCCTGCAATCTGCTTCTAGAGATAAGAGTTTCAGTGGCTATTTACTTGGCTTTAATATTTTCATATTAAGTTTTTAAAAAAATTAAAATACAACAAGCTTGTCCATTAAACAGCACATTATTTTTGAGAGATTTTTTTGCTATAGGACATGTAGGCTCTCCGGAGAGACAGAAAGTGAGAAATCAGCCCCCCCCCCGGGGGCGGGGCGGGGATGGCCATGCTGCAATCCCTTCTCCTCCACTCTCCTCTTGTGACTTTGAGCATGCATGCACATGCACCTGGTGAGAGTTCCAAGCTGCCTGGTCCAAAACTCATACCACAGTTGGCCACATGGGGAGTCCAGTGCCTTAACCACTACACCACCAGCTAGAGCCAAACAACTCATTATCAACAAAGAAACTTAAGCCTAAATAACAGATCACTTTACCAAGAAACAATCATCACACAAGGCCCCAAGTATGTGATATACAGGACTGTGTTGTGTTGCCCACAGATTGCAGCATGATCAGAGCCTACTTCAGCGTACAGTAACGCAGACATTCCGAGTCCCATACTTTCCCTGCCTTTGGTGAGATTTAATATGTTTCCTATGGGAACTGAAGTTTTGGGTTTTTTTGTTTGTTTGTTTGAGAGGTTTTCGCTATAGGGCGTGTGCACTCACCAGACAGACAGAGAGAGACGTAGAGACAGAAAGCAAGAAATCACCCCCCGGGGGGGATGGTCACGCCGCAGTCCCTTCTCCTCTCGGGATCTTGGGCACGCACGCACACGCGCCCAGCGTGAGTTTTAAGCCACCGGGTCCGGGACGCGAACCGTGATCGACTACGTGGGAGTCCAGCAACATAGCCATTACACTAACTGCTGGTTCCCATATGGGAACTGAAGTTAACCTGTGTCACTTTGTCACTTTTAGTGCCACTGATAAGAAATCGTGCATTTCCAGTTTAAGATCAGGAATAGAAGTAGAGGGAAGTAAGGGGTGAGAGGAAAAGTGACCACAGAGATGACACGAAAGGTCACACTCCAGCTTCACAACACCACTCAGTCATAGTTTGGTGTTTGGTGTTCTGCCAGCTTCCAGGATGCCCCACCTTGCTAGCTGGTACTCCCTATCATTCTTGGCCTACTGG